ACTTTAGTTCATCAGTCCTGGAGATAATACACAACATTCCTAGTAGCCAGTGCATTTCAACCAATGTTCTACTTTCACACTACTCTTCACAACAAGTAGTAGTGACTATAGCAATAGATACACTAGTCCCTTGCAGTTTAAAGCAGTGTAGTTATTTTACCCTATGTTTAATGTACGTAAATTTGACCATTCTACCACACAGAATTACCACACCTGGTCTATATCATTCTAGGTGAGCCACCATTTAGCTTCAGAGAGGCTAAAAGCTCATTTCACATGGATGATTTCGATGTCCATGCTTTCACCGTTTAAGAGGAAAACTGACCAATTAGACAATCTCCTGAAAACATGATGTACTCCTCAAAGAGCCATCAAAGCTTTTTAAACTCCTCTAAGCTGGGTTTACTTTTCACTATGTATAACTTTGGGATAGTGAGGATATTAAGCAGGACTGGAGTGCTTAGCTTATCATAGAGCTACAGTTGGGATTAGCTGGTTGTTTGAGGAACTAGAGGGAAAGCTAGGTTCTCTATCGGCCCTCCTCTCCTTGAATAAGGTCCCTAATTATCAGGGCTGTAGCAGACCATTCAGCCAGCTACATGGCTGCTATATGTGGGTGTGCTAAGCCAGTCTGTCTGTCTGGCTGCCTGTGTGGCTCTCTGTCTCCTCGTGGTGTGACTGTGTTTGAGTATGTGCGTGGAGGTGACTATTATCATGTCTGTCGGTCTCTCAGTGTACCCAAAAGGCTGACTCATGGTATGCCACACACACTAACACACACACACACAGACCCACACATAGTCCTACATATTAAAGGCTGAGATGTACAATCTGTACTATAAACACAGTCTCCTACAACTGCAGAGCACACACACATTAGCACATACACATACCTTCTTTCCTCTGCTGTTGCTCTGTCTGGACCTTAGGAGTATTACATGCTGTTTATTTGTTGAACGTGTGTGTGTGTGTGTGTGTGTGTGTGTGTGTGTGTGTGTGTGTGTGTGTGTGTGTGTGTGTGTGTGTGTGTGTCTGGTATGACAGGAATTTTTGGGGCTTGTACCCATGGGAGAGCTGCTATATATATATTTGGAGTGTGAGAACTGAGCCATCCTTGTCCCCGATCTCTTTAATTACACACACAAAGTCCCCACCACACACACACGCCTGGCTCCCTTCCACACACATGAATACAGGATTGCTAGCCATGCATAAGAGCTGTAAGAACTTAAACACACAGCGCCTCACAAGTCTTTTTTCCCCTTATTGTCCCTTCCTGCCACACACACACAAAGACACACAAGCACACACACACACACACACACACACACACACACACACACACACACACATTTGGGACCCCCGGGACAGACTATAATGGCTTGGCTTCCCTTGTTGTGGGAGAGGAAGGAGGGGAATTGTGCTCAGACGTACATTTAATATTCTCAGACTTTTATTATATACAGTACAGTGCATCTATGAGAGAAACAGCTGGAGGAAACTATGTCTGTGTGTATGTGTGTGGGGCAGAGTGTGTGGTACACTACAGTCCCACCCATACCCACATCAATCAGCAATCCTCTTCCTGTTCACTTTGCAGGGCTAACGGTCTCCCACCGCACTCTTTATTGTGCAATTACACACATACACACATATAAAGCCGAGCAAAGTCACACACTTGAGACAACAGACACTCTCTTGACACACCTAGTGGAAGACATGGTGTAATAATCTCCCACTGGGAGCAATATGAGAATACAATATGACTTCAGATGATGTGGGTAAAATGGCAAACTGAAATAATTTTATTCACACACAGCAGCAACAAACAGGCAGCATGAGCAACATAACATTTGCATGAATAGTACTGTCAGTTTGTCGTAGTGCAGGAGAGACCAGTGAGACGCAAACAATATATAGGCTATAAGCCACAATGCTCTAGTTTACAGCTCCATGGTGGATAATTAAGGACTGGAGCAAGTCATGAAGTAATAGCTTCCAGATGATGTAATAAAAAGTCTTTACAGCTAATTTGATGTAATATAATAATATACATACAGATTATTATAACGTTAAGGTTGCAGGTTTTCTGAGTATGTAATTACATCATCTGGAATTTAATTAGGCCTACCTAAACCAGTTTTGACAGCTTCCATCCATTTAGAGAGAAATGTGTCACGTATTGACATGCTGTAGCATTATTAGCTGTTGTAAGCTTTTGCTCCATGGTTACTCTCAGCTAGAAATGCAAGCAGCCTCTTGAATTTAAATTTTCAACTTTTACTCTTTCACTTAAGCAGACAAAGTGGCAGCCGGAAATGCTTCCATGTTTGCATTTATTAAGCTCACTCTGCAGCACTGTGTGTGCTGTATCTGTCGTAGCGTGCAGCTGATTTCTCCACACAGCCTTTAACACACAACAACAAAACATCCACATACAAACACACTGCCTCCCCATGTCAAAGACCCCCACTGTGCTGCATCCCTCCTCTTTCTCAACACAAAACACATTATTGAACATTCATTGTCACTTCACAATAGACTAGATCTACCCTGGTGGTACATACCGCACATGCCATGCACTTACTTCATCAGGGGTTTGAATCTAGCACACACACACACACACACACACACACCCCTCTTGTTACCGCATACCAACAGAAGTAAAAATGCCTTCAGCCATAACAGACAGTGAGAGACTGATGTCGTCACTGATTCGCACCGAGACAGAACGAGATTTCCTCATGTTCTGATTTTATTGTTTTTTAGAATTGGTGTGACCATAAATAAACTGTGTGTGTGTGTGTGTGTGTGTGTGTGTGTGTGTGTGTGTGTGTGTGTGTGTGTGTGTGTGTGTGTGTGTGTGTGT